CTTTTACCGGGACGAGTCCCCTTAGGCGGTTGAAATTGTGGGACCTCTCCGTCCGGAGTGTAATGGTTTTCTTGTTGGGGCCACTACCCAACCGTGCTTGGTTGTTTTATTCTCTGTTTTGGTTGCCAACCCCCCCCCCCCCCCCTCGCGCTGAATCCCTCTCCCCTCCCTCCCAGGCCCCATGGGTTCCCTAGCTGGGCCCCCCTTGTCGTGTAAAGGGTGTTTCTCTTTTTTGTTGGGTTGTCAGCTTCTCATGTTGGCTCCGACCTTTTTGTTTTGCTTTTGGCTTCTTCCCCCGTGGGTTTTTGTGCTGGGGGTTGTGTTTTTGGTGGGTTATGTGCCCCTTGGCTTTGTACTTTCTTTTCTTTAATGCAAAATGCATATTTTTCAAGGAAAGGGATGCATAAGGATGTGGAGGAAATGGTAGTCATAAGTAAAATCTGTTAGAGGAACAAGTACATGGTCATGTCTCTAGGAGGATTACTATAGCCGTTAGCTTTACCAGATCGGTATGGGAGGAGGTATCCATGGATTTCATAGATGGGCTATCCCGGTCAGAAGGGTTCAAAGTGATCCAGCTGGTGGTGAACCGGTTAAGTAAGTATACTCATTTCATTCTCCTACGACATCCGTACACCATAGTAACAGTGGCATCATAGTGATAGTGGCATCATTATTATTCAGAGAGCTGGTTAGACTACATGGAGTATTAGAGGTCATAATATTCGATAGGGATAAGGTGTTCCTTTACCATTTTTTTTAAGAGGAGTTATTCAGACTATAGGGGACAGTATTGAATAGGAGCACCTCCTACCACTCACAGACGGATGACTAAACGGAAGTGGTCAACAGGAGCTTGGAAACTGACCTTAAGACGCTTTGTATCAGAGACACCCAAGTTATGGGCCAAGTGACTAGCATGGGCTAAGTATTGGTACAACACCTCTTATCATTCTACTTCTCAGATGACTCCATTCAAGGTGTTGTATGGAAGGAACCCTCCTCATCTTAATGCATTTTGGGCATAGGAGCACACCAATTTTGTCAGTAGAAGAGTACCTAGAGGAGCGAGACCGATGCTAGAAGAATTGAAGAGGCATCTACTGAGGGCCCAGGAAATTATGATGAACAAGCTAATGGTCGCCAACAGCAGAAATGAGGAGCTTGCACCAAGGTATTTTGGGCCCTTTTAATTATTGGAGAAGATAAAAAAAGTAGCATATAAGCTGAAATTGCCATCCACAACAACAATACATCCTTTTTTTTCATGTCTCACAGCTAAGGAGGGCGATTGGGGAGCATGCAGCCAGTTCTGAGCTACCAATGACATTAACAGAGGACTTGGAGGTGATATTGGAATCATTTGAGTTGCAAGGGGTGCGCCAGGGAGAGGGAGGGGTAAATGAAGTGTTGATCAAGTGGAATGATCTTCTAGATTATGAGGTGACATGGGAGCTTTATGAGAGCGTGAAGCGTTAGTTTTCCTATTTTCACCTTGAGGACAAGTTGGTTATTTGAGAGTGTGTTAATGTTAGACCGGTCCCTATTGGACCAGTCCAACCAGCCCCTTTTAATGGGCTAGTTCAGGTTTAAAAAAGAAGGGATAGCGGCAAAAGAGAGAGAGGAGGTGGGGTCTGTTGAGTCTAGTGAATAGGTTGTTAAGCCTAAGTGATTGTCACATGGCTAATTAAGAGGGGGGGTGAATTGGTAATTTAAAAGTTATACTTCTACTCTTGGATTTTTAGAAAACCCTTTTAATTATTAATGCAAGTTAAATTTAAAGTTTAAAAATAAACTTTTCAATCAGAGTAAACAATTTGCAATTAACTTAAATGCGGAAGAAAAATAAGAAAGAACACACTAGATTTATAGTGGTTCGGTCAAACCTTGACCTACATCCACTCCCCGGAGGCACCCTCCGAGTATTGCACTAATACCACAAAGTGACTCTCCTTTTGCCCCCAACGCAAGGTGGAGAAGTCTGTACAAAATCACTTTCACCTTCCCCGGTGCGGCGGAGTAGCCGGGTTATTTGGCACCAAAGAGATCTTCTTCTAGCCAAAACTTCCTTCAAGACGACCCTTGAATCCGATGGTACTGAGGTGCAAGTTCGCCGGAGCAACCGTGTGAATATCCCCTCCACACTCTCTTGAAATCCCCTTCAAGGATCTTCTCCCTCTCAAACTCCACCCTTTCCTCTCTCCCTTTCAAGTTCTCTTCTAGTTTTCTCGAAAAGAACGAAGACACAATAACTGTCAAAGATACACTTTGTCGTTCTTTTACACTCTCCAAGTGTCGACAGAGAACCGGACCGATGTTGTTGAACTTCACTTGAGAGCCTTCAAAGGAGATGGGCAGAAACAAAGAGATCTTCTTCTTCAAGTAACCTTGTGAATCCCTCACAAACCCCTCACTTGATCTCTCACACTTCACTCTTACAATATCTCCCAAACACTCACAGTCAATGATCCCTCTCAAGAGAAAACAACTCCAAAGGCACTTGTAATAGTTTATAGGAGTCCTTATATAGAAAGGAGAAGAAAAATCGTCCAAAAAACTGTTAAAATCATGTTTTTCTGCGCACTGGATTGTCCCGTACGAACCTGAGTTAGTACGGACGAACTGTGTAAAAAACTGTCCCGTACGAACCAATTTCATCCTGCGACGAAATAGGTTCATCCCGGGACAAAATATTTCGTCCGGTACGAACAGTTATATCAAAGGTCGTTTCCGAAAACTGCAAAACATTGCCAGAAACTGCCATAGTCGGTTCCCTTCGTCCTGGGACGAAAATATTTCGTCTTGGACGATCAGAACTTAGAAAAAATATTTTTCTTCAGTTCCCATTCATTCCATTGTTCTTACGATGAGATAACTGACTTGATCGTCCCGTTCGAACTATGTTCGTCCCGTACGATCAGTACAAAATATTTAAGATCACCTTAAGTGTGTGTTTTAATTCACTCAATTTACAATCACTCCCTTTCAAGTTTATTTCAAAGAAAAGTACAAGCTTCAAATCATAGAGTATTTCATGATGAATTGATTTTGAAGTCTTCGTTTGTCTGGAGTTCGATTGTCCTGAAATTTAGTCCACACAAGAGTAAAAACAAATCTTCCAAAAAATGTTAGGAGATAACAACACATAAAATAATAATATTTGGAATCATCAAAACTATACAAGTTGCAAGAATATAAAACATGCAAATAGCAACTTTCCTAACATGGTCCACTAGAGATTCAAATTCAAATGTTTGGAGCCAACGGAGGGGCTTGCAAGGGCTAATTTGTCTTTTGGCTTTAATGATTAATTATATGCTTTAAGTTTGAGGGAGGAACTAGGGTTAGGGTAAGGCTTTGTTTTGGTGGCTGATTTTCGAAGTTCTTGTCTTGTTATCTTGGGTCCTAGATTCATTTAGGGATTGAGAAAGAATGATCATCCTCTCGAATTGAGGATCAATTGTATCTTGCTTTATTATTTCCATTGTTTGATTTCCATCATAAAAAAACTACTGTTTTGTTGTTTTTCCATTTGATTCGTGAAGTTTTTTCATTGTTTTCCTCAATCTTGTCAGGGTTTATTTGAAACATTCAAATATTTCCTATCATAACTCTTCTCATGAAATGTGAGTATGCTAGGGTGCGAAATTTTCGAACCACATGGTTTAGTTCAAATATTGTTAATGCGTGTCTCAGGTTGGACTATACACGAATATTAGAACAGTAAATGATGCTAAAAAAATATTTGGAACGTTATGATTCACATATAACATATTGAACTATGTAATGCAAATTTTAATGTTGAGATGTAGATCGAAATTCATTTCTATACATACCTTTAGAACTGAACTAGTTGCTACATGCATGTGAAAATTTGTTCTAGCTGCTTACTTTTATTGTGATTAGCCTTTCCTAAATGAAGTATGCAGCGCTCATTGATTTAACCAGCGAATTTGGAAAATCAAGACAATAGGTTGCCGTTCTTAGAATGGACCATATTTTATAGTTTAGCCATGTGATGCCAAGCTATGCATTCCTTTTAAAATTATTTCTACATAGGCTGTATGCCATAATCATTTATTAATGCTGAAGGGATAGGTAGTGAAGAAAGAAGTTTATGGCAGAGTTGGGCTGCTTACAAGTTTACATGAAAAAAAATTAGCTCGCACAGCATATGCAAATGTAAGACTTAGCTGCAGAAGCTGGAGACATTTTACTCATTGTAACTAGACACCTAGTATATGAAAGATTGTAATTAATAAATTTATAGCCTGTCTAAAATCCTTTTTTTTTTAAAACATATTTGCTTACTATATATTTTATTTATTTTTATTTTTATTTTTTTTAAATAAATAAAAAATTTTAAGCACTAAAAAAAAGTTGATTGGAGTATTTTTAGAATAAATATCAGACTATCCACAGTGACCCACTACTGGACACCATTGCTTCCAGTTGGCTATTGTCGGTAGACAATCATAGCCTCTGTTAGTCGCCTCTATTTTTGTCGACCAATATCAGCACCACCAGCCACCATGGCATCCGCCATAGTTGCCTTTCCTTTTGCAGTCATTGCTCTGCTGACGACTACCACCACCACCACTATTACCACCGTTGTTATCTTAATGACTGTCATCGTTGCACCGCTATCGTTGCATCGCTAATGATGGCCTTTTCTTCCACGTAAATCTTTTTATTCAAAATTCAGAAATGGTTTCAAGATATTAAAAATGTTTTATTTCAAATTCCAATATAATCAAAGTAAAATAAAAAAAATACAAATAATCTCATATGGCCCCTTAATGAGGTTATTTATTTATTTATTTATTGTGAAGGCACTATATTTTTATTTGTTTTCTGGGTCTTATTATTGATAATGTTCTTATATGAAATTTGGATCATTGCGTAACGGATCTTTAAGGGCTCAATTGGTTTATAAACGAGAAAGCCGGTTGCACTTTTGGTATGGAGTCTTCTGATGCTCTTTCTTTCTATTTCGGCAGATGAGAAGGCTCGCTATTCTTCCAGAGACCCCATCGCTACCCTGAAGAAGTATGTTCTTGAACATAATCTTGTTTCTGAGTCTGAGCTCAAGGCCATTGATAAGAAGATTGATGAGTTGGTTGAAGAAGCTGTGGAGTTTGCGGATTCAAGCCCAGCTCCTCCTCGAAGCCAACTGCTTGAGAATGTCTTTGCAGACCCGAAAGGCTTTGGAATTGGTCCTGATGGAAAATACAGGTGTGAGGATCCAGGATTCACGCAGGGTACCGCGCAAGTGTAGAGATTCTGTAACTCCATTGCTCATTCTTGTTCAAAAAGGTACTTTTCAGTATTTTGATGTAGTCTGATTAGTAGCAAATTATCCTCTTTTCACCATCCTATTCTATTTTCTCATTAATGCCAATATTGCTACGTCTTCGGCTGCATTTCTTTGTCCAACTATTAAGACGTGTGAGTTCAGGTTTAGCTTATTTTTGGCAAGTATTGTTTATGACACTATGAAATTGATATTGTTGTATCTAATATTCCTTATATGGTGGCTGTTTTATTTTTAATTGACCTGGTGGTGGATAGCATTGTTTCTTTGTGGGTTTTCTTGATGACATCTCCTATTGTTATTTGTTCCAAAAATGATGGGTGCCCAAAAGGCTTAATATTCGCCGTCAATAATTTTACAAAACAGTAAGAAAATTGTCCTAAATAAAACGTGTTATAAAAATCAAGAGTTCAGTTTTTTCAAGTAACACTTTTTAAGTGATGTAGGTTTTGTTTTGTACGGCTTTCTTGCTATTGCTTTTAGCAACATTTTAATATAATTTTTTTAATTTTCTTACTAAAAAGTTGCTTTACGAAACAATAAAAATATCATCCCAAATGTAGCAGCAATGTGGCTACCAACTACTCAAAGAATTGAGTTAAACAAAACCTTGCCTAATTCATATTCATCTTATTATTGTTGTCCTACCTGAAATCTTCAATTTGAACGCGTAAAAGCAAGTAAATCTTGTTCAGTAGAATTCCTGAAAGAACGTTAATTGTCACATAATATATGTCTCATTATGTGTGCAATTTGTTAAAGAACGATACATATTAAGCTGGATAATGAAGTTATAGTAATAAAATAACGCATCAGAAAGTTCATGTTGCAGGGCAATTTGTAGGTGATATCACATGATGTAATACCATTAGATGCATAACATGTAATCATAAAAAATCCATATTTATGGAATAAGAATGTTGTATATTTTTAATAGAAGTAAAAGTATGTGATCGCCTTTGCCCCCTATTGATGTGGACCGTCTAAACCTTTTCAAATGAACCTATTAAAAATGCTTGACCTTCTCAACAAAATCTATAAAAATAAAAATAAAAAAGCGATGCCCTTGATATTAAAGGAGAAAATAATCTCAATCTTGAAAGCTATTGAAGGACCTAATGCCTATATGCAGTACACTATTGACAGTCATGCCTAATATCAATGGATCACTTAGAAGATGTTAAGAAATAACATCAATCAAATTTAGATTTTTTTTTGGGAAATTTTTTTTACTATTTTGTAAAGCTACGTTTTAGTATAAAAATATCTTAAAAGCAAAAAAAAATAGCTGTCTAAAGTTATTTCAATGAAGCCCTAATCATATCCCATGTGTTATGATTTCCTTAAATTTGACAATAATTTGCATAGGAACTAGATCATAAGCTTATTAGTCTTTATCTCATAAAAATTTAATTTAGAGTGATCACAACTAATGAGTCGATATAAAGTTATAGTACTTAGCAATTCAAATCTCTCAAGCTTTCTTAAGGGTTTCAATAAATAACATTGAGCTGACATTCTAATCCCGATCCTTCCCTCTAACAAATATAAGTTCCATTAATCAAATGAATCAAGTTGGCACAAACCTATCTTGCCCACTTCCTCAAAACAAGTAGATCATACCAAGCCACCAAGCCCACCATTTCAAATTTTCTAGGTTAAGCCGTGGACAAAAATTAATTGAAGGGGGAAAAAGCTAAAAAGAGTTTGTATTACCTAAAGAGGGGATAGAATTGTATAATAAAATTTTATTGCATAAGTTTAACCAAATAATTTGCTAACATGGAAGCTGAAAAATGTATTAACAAAAACAATTTAATAATGTAAAATGTAAAAATTAGATGTTTTGATACAGTAAATGTAAATCAAAGCTTTTATAATTATTCAACTTGAATTTGACATGACCAAATGGATGGTCCGGTTACGCTTGGTACCGAGCGTGGTACCGAGTCAGTACCGAGCACGGTATGGTACCTCACGTGGTACATTTTTGGGGTGACGATGTATTTTTATTGATTTCTGGACCACATTGAACTCCGCACCTAATAATTTATCCAAGTGGGGGCACATGGGCCTCTACCTAATTCTACTTTTGCAGCATGTAATTGAGTGTACATGATTGTAGTAGCATCAATGCGAGTAGGCTAAAATATTAAGTAATAGAGAGGGACATGGAGAGAGAGAGAGAGAGAGAGAGAGAGAGAGAGCAAATGGGAGGCATTTTCTATTGCCTAAAGGATATATTTTACTTAATTTTTTTTATTTGCTTTGATTTTAATTTCCATTTTAGATATATTATTTTTTAATAATAAAATAGTATTAGTATTAATATTAATTTTAAATATTATTATCATAACGATTAATATTGAAAATTTTACTTATTATTGAAAATATGGTCAAGTTTATTTGGTAAAATAATCTCAACCATCTGTTATTCTTTAACAAAAATTCTTTATTTTTATCTAAGGTAATAATAGTTTTTTTTTTTAGAATATGAAAATTAATAATGATAAGAAATCTTAAAAATTAGTATTAATAAATATAATAAAAAAAATATTATTGCTTTTAATATTTTTTACAATTTGAAGAATTACTAAAATAAGAAATTTCTTACTATTGACTTTTGGGTGTTGGAACATTTGTGGTAGTAGAGATATATAGAGTTTAATGTCCAAACTTTTTATGAGGATCCAACACATATATAGATAATAAGGAGGTGGTGTGAGAGTCATAAGAAACACCATTTTTTATGTAAAACCCTATGAAAGGGGTAAACAATGTTGCATGGTCAAATTGAAATGATTTCACTAGTGTTTGTTGTTAATTACAAACAACTCCCTTCCTTGGGGGAAGGCATTGGAATATAGTAAATATACATTATATAAATCACATTACATGGCTGGTGTTAGAAGAATCAAATGACATGAGAGTTATTATTAAGTGGTCATTGGTATGTTTGTTTGGATGGCAAGATTGTAGTCAAACGATGGTAATGGAAGGATGGTAGTTGGGCATCCTAGGTTGGAGGGGTTGTGGTTGAGCGATGGTGGCTGGAGGATAGTAGCTGGACGATGGTGTTCAAAAGGGATCATAGTCGAGTGATAGAGGTTGGAGAGATTGTAGTTGAGTGGTTGTGATCAAAGGGACCATAATTAAGGGATGGTAGATGAAGGGATTGTAATCGGGCAACTGAGGACCATAGTTGGCTGAAAGAGTTTGTTGGGACTATAGTTGGAAAATAGAGGTTAGTGAGGTTGTATTCACCTAACGGTGCTCAGAGGGACCATAGTCAAGTGAGGGAGGTCGGAGGGACCATAGGTGGGTGAAAATGGTGAGTAAACATAAGTCTGATAGTGGTGAGTAGTTGGAGGTCTAGGGTTGGCCAAGCATAGATCTTATTGTGATGGCCAAGAAGAGGAGGTCCAATGAAGGTGGTTGGTTGATGACAGTTCTGACAATCATGAGTGGGCAAAATTCTAATATTGTTGGCTAGAAAGGAGGCCAAATTTTAGCTGGGCAAAAGTCTAGTGGCAATGGTCGTGTGGGGAGGGTTTTTTGGTGGTAGTGCTTAGGTGGAGCTCTACGATTCTTCAAGCCTTAGAGCTCTATTCTCTCTTAGCCAAGGGTCTAATCCCCTCTTTTCATGTAGAGAGCAAGGGCATATTTATAGATTTTTTGGAGCGGCATGCCCCAATAAATAAGGAGAAGATTTGAACAAAATTAGGAGTGCTCCATTAGATAACCAATATTGGTTCTCTCAATCATGGAGACTTTCTTCAATGTTTATGTGTACAAATGGTGTTACAATCTAATGATCTTTTGTTCATTCAATTCATCTTGTTAGCCTCTCGATTTGACTACAAGCATGACAAATTTGGAGAGCCATCTAATTAATAGCCTAAAGCTTTAAAATATATTTCAAGTCCTTGAATTAGGCCCATCATGGCTTGGATTGGACCAATTTTGATATTATTAGGTTCATTCCATTAAGATGTTTAGTTCAATTATAAGTTTGCCAGATTTTGAGTTCATATAGTAAAAAATTTAAGTTTATAATTCAAATATACCTTGAGATTCATGCCCAATCAACGTATTTTGTGGTGATGTATTAGTTGTCTCCCTATTTTTTTGAACAACAAGCTTACATACTTAAAAATACATGTTTAAGTCTTCCACAAAAATTGCTATAAAATTATATTTCTGAGATAATTACAAGCCCATCTGATTCATTCAATGGAATCTAAATTTTCTAATATTCTTATGAACTCTACAAGCTTCTAATTTTCTAGTTCTTTCTAACATTGGACTACTCATGAGATGAGTATTTCAACACAAAAATGATAGCTTCCACTCTATAGACGTCAATGTGGACCTCCAACCTGATCACAGTGACTATGGCCCTTGGATGCAAGTCAAATTCAAGAAGAGATCGAGACAGTTGGGACAGAGGGACTTCTTTTAGAATGATGATAAGACTGCGGGCACTTCTAGCAATACTAACCATCCTTGAAAATAAAACTGATGATCTCCCACATCAGAGTATTGGCAGCTCGATACACGGCTGAAATTAACCAGGAGTTCTGATATCCTGGATGATATAGTTGAAACAACTAGCAGGGATTCCAATCCCCTCTTTCCACTAAAACTTCCCTGTAGGCTGATTTTACCAGTTTCAAATAGTTTTGAGTTCTTGTGATATAAAGACTCCCTAAATTAACGAAAAATCGATAGGCAATCTATTACTATCAGGATAAAGTTTTAGCTGGGAATAGCATAACTCCTATTGCTTCTAGTGTTACTGAGCAAGTAATGTCCACATCATTCCCAATTTCCTGAAGACTCTGGAATGTTTGAAATTGATCATGAGAAAAAGGAGTAAAAAAATCGATTAATCCGCCGCAAAATATGGTTCTGATACTCCTTTGTACGGCTAGAGTGTTTCCATTGACAATATGCTAATGGAATTCTTCTGGACTGGTAATGCTGAAGTCTCAAATTCAACCACAGTAAAAACAGAAAGCTAAAGCCTCAATTAAAATTCTTGGGACCATTGAACCCATCGCTAGAAGAGAAAGTGGAAAGGGAAACTCAGAAAGAAAGGCGGGATCTTCCCCTGAGTTAATAAATGTCCTCCTTAATCTTTTGGAACTGTAGAGGGGTCAAGAAGAAAGAGATGGCCTCTACCTTAGAGCAGTGGTTGAAATAAATTAATTTTCTTGTTGGTTTGGCTGAACCAAA